AAACCTCTTTTTTGTATAACATACCAGTGTCAGGCATTGTGATTATGATGGAGGATGGATTTATGCATGCATGTTCACAGCTCTATGCTGTCTGGCTGGAGAGATGAGGACAGCCAGCAGCCCTCTGGTAGCTGTGAGACCATTCAGTGTGGAGCTGGCTAGCCATCTCTGCTTCTAGCCAGACCGGCCTTGAGGACCCTCACTGTACATGTGCAGCATGCAGCCCAGTTCCAGCAGACTGCCTCCAACTTTCTGGGGCTCTCTTCAAGTGGGGCCTCCTGTCCTGGAACTACATGCCAGCAATCCCAGCTCCTTCGGCCTAGCCAGCTCTATGTCTCTGCATGGATGCCTCCCTGGGCTGCGGACTGAGACTGCCCAGACAGGAAGTGGTGAGACAGGGCCTCACCTTCTTGGATGTCTGACAGTAGCTGTTCCCTGTATCTGCCCTATTTCCAGTGGCTCCTGGCCAGTTCATTGAAAAATACCCTGCATTAGTCGATGCCAACACCTCATGAGCTGAGATGAAGACCCAGGTGCCCAGAGGCCCAAGGAGGCAAAGCTGCCTGCAGGGCTGGGAGGCCTGGAGCTGCCAGCTACACTGAGTTCCTAAGCATTTCAGCCCTGGGAGTAATTTTAGAAACCCAACCACAAAAATGTGCCTTGGTAGTTCTCAAACAGTAGGATCCTCTTAAAAAAGAAAAAACAAAAGCTTACAGGGGGCTGAAACAGGAAACATTAAAAAAAAAAAAAAAGTTCTCACTGGAGAAGAGGAAGAGGGAAGGGCACTAATGTTGGAGCATCGGGCGACCCCCAGGTCTCAGGACCCACCTAGGACCTTGATAAGCAACTCTCAGAAGAGACTAGTTGTCTCCAGCAATAAGGGAATCCTGGGTGGGGAGCAGCCACCACAGCCCCAGCCTCTGCAGGCTCCAAGTAACATCACCTAGCTGTCACTGCAGGTTGGTGGAAAGACCCCAGGACACCAGCAGATCTGTGAGCTATACACACCAAGCTCTGGTTGCCACAACCCCTCAAGAATAAGAGGAAATGTCCCGAAGGCTCCCAGCAACCACGTAGCAGGTATTGCTACTCAAAAGTCAACATATGTGAAGCCACCAGGACAGCTATGTGTGTTGTGGCCAGCCATGCACCAGCTCTGTGAGCTATAAATTCCTTCCCACACGGGCAGATAAGAAAGCTGATGCTCACTTCCCCAAATAAACACTCCATAGAAATGGTACCTGTATTGGGCAACCTGTTGGCCACCTGGATACACTGCCACCCATGTCGAGAGACGGCCAGGCCCACAGCCAGAAGGTGAGGAAAGAATCACCGTTTACCACCCTCCAGGCACTGGTCATGAGGCCCAAGACATGCAACCTAAAGTGAAGGTCAAGTGATAGCCCTGGCATGTGCAGAAAATAAAAGGCTGAGTTTCATAGCCTCACATCCCAGATGGCCAAATGGGGTAGTGCCACACATTGGGCAGGCACAAGAAGACTCCAGTCACCTTCAAGTGTCAGGACTGTCCCATGTCCCACAAGAGAGCATCGGGCGCAGGAGACAAAGCAGGGAGAGACACTGCCAGCACTGGGGAAATTGGGGCTCTAGTCAGCACTGGCTCAGGACTTACAAAGTGACAAAGTTTGTGTGCAGGAGGGATGAGGGGACAGGGCCTCAGTGACTTTGATGGCTTCTGAAGCCAAGAATAGCAGCTTTACTGTATGGGCCCAGAGTCTACACACTCATTACACAGTATTCGCTGTTCACAAGTGAAGTACCTAAGTGTTAACCACAATGGATTCTGCCATTTGCCCCATCTGAAGATAAGCCCTGAGGACTGAGCCATGCACCCCTTGTCTTTCCCTTTTAGTTTCTCAGATAGCGTCTTGGGCTTTTGCCCAAGCTGGCCTCAGATCACAAAGATCCTCCTACCTCTGCCTTCTTAGTAGCTGGTTAACTTCTTAATTGTTATTACAAAGATAATAGACAGAGGGGTTATAGTTAGATCAGGTAACGAACATTTCTATTTGGACAATGTCACCCCTTCCCTCACTCTCTCCAGTTTCTGACCCTCCCTGCCCTACCCCCCACCCCCCTCTCCCCACCTATAAGCTGTATAGTTCATTTTTAACATCATGTCCGGTAAGTAGCACTGTTGCATTTGTTCACTCTGTCCCTCTGTTCCTCTGCCTTCCTTAAACCTCCCAAAGACAGATAAATGAACAAACAAGACACAAAGAAAATGAAAATAGCAACAAAGGGTTGGCTAACTTCTTAAACACCCATAAGAACATTCATCCTGCATGGAACAAGTTTGTTGGAGACAGCCATGATGTGGTGTGGGGCCAGGATACTGGACCCAGACTCACCCTGGGCTGCCCTTTGGCAGTGGTTGCTGAGTGGCAACCCCTGGGCTTGGCCTATCAGTAACTGAGTCTGGAAGCGGCCCCAGCTCTGGAGGGCGGCTTACCAACTCTGCACAGAGCACTGCTCAGCCACACCTTGTAGAAGGTCCTCGCCAAATGTCACACTTGGAACCAACAGCTCTCTCAGCTTGCTACAGCCTTCTGTAAGACCATACTCAGAGAGCATCAACTGAGTTAAAGGGAGGGCCTAGATGCCCACCAGCTGGGTCCTGTCCCTGCCCTGCACTAGCTAAAAGTATCACCAGATACATTACTCAACTATTAAAGTTTTTGTTGATTTGCCAGTACTAGGTTTGAACTCAGGACCTTGCATTTTATTTGCCTTGCTTTGCTCAACTTGTGCTCTAGCATTTGATCTATGCCTTCAGTCTCACTTTTTGCTGATTATTTTGGAGATGGAATCTCATGGGCTTTTCTACCCTGGTTGGCCTCAAACCACAATCCATCAGATTGCAGCCTCCTGAGTACCTAGGATTACACTTGTGAGCTACTTGTATCCTGTAACTACTGAACTCTTTAAGGAAAGGTCAGGCTCCAAGCGAGACCCTAAGGAGCCTTTCTGCTGCTGGCCCTGCATTTGGAGCACACAGATACAGCAGTGGTCACCCGGCTATCCTCTGGCCAAAGTGTGGAGGCAAGCGAATGGTGGGCCAGGGACTCCCAGGAGCCCAAAGCCATCCTCACCAAGTTCTGAAGCCCAGAGCTTGAGTCTGTGAGCCCCAGGAGCAGCTATTTTTAAGTGCCACGCCTTGGCTATTTCAAGGGCTTGAGGCTTTATTTTATTTATTTAATTCAAGAGGAAGCTGTACTTTCTCATGACTCATTTCTTTCAAAATGGTGTCTCAAGCATTTTTAATGCGGGAATCATCTTGAGTTCATAAACTGGTCAGGAATTGTCTAAGAGCCAATAGGCTCTTCACTTTATCATGCCATTCAAACAAAAAGTGACTTCATTACAGCAGGGTGGCTACAGCTGGAAGGGACCCCAAATACTAGTACTTTTCCACTAACAGAGAAAAAAAAAGGTAACACAGTACTGCTTAAAAATACATGGAACAGGCAGGCATGGTGGTACACACTCGTAATCAATCATCGTGCTCGGGAGGCAGAGGCAAGAGGAGGATGAGATCTAGTCTGAGATACAAAGAAAAAGAAAAAATAATAAGCTGGGTGCTGGTGGTTCATCCCTGTAATGCTAACTCCTCAGGAAGCTGAGATCTGAGGATCCTAGTTCAAAGCCAGCCTAGGCAGCAAAGTCCATAAGACTCTTATCTCCAATGAATCACCAAAATGCTGAAAGTAAAGCTGTGGCTCAACTGCTAGAGCACCAATCCTGCTCTATCACTTGAAAAAGCCAAGAAAAAGCCAGGTACTGGTGGCTCAGGCCTGTAATCCCAGCTACTCAGGAGGCTGAGATCTGAGGATCATGGTTCAAAGCCAGCCAGGCTGGAAAGTCCATGAGACTCTCATCACCAGAAAACTGAAGTGGCACTGTGGCTCAAGGGGTAGAGTGCTCACCTTGAGCTGAAGAGCTCAGGGACAGCCCCCAGGTCCAGGGTTCAAGCCCCACAACTGAAAAGAAAGAGAGAAAAAGAGAAAGAGATTAAGAAAGAGAGAAAGAGAGAGAGAAAGAAAAGGCTAGGAGATCGTGCCCAGGCCCCAAGTTCAAGCTCTAGTACCATTATAAATAACACTAAGAGGTACTACTCACGGTCCCCATCCCAGTGCCTATCAGCACCTGTGCCTGCCTCTCCAGCAGCTTTCCCTGGGCTCAGACTCTAAAGCAAGGGCAACCACCAGTAGGTGGGGCACTTGGAGACACAGCCATATGGTCCAGGACTCTGACTGCACCAGGCTGGAAAGCAGGAAGGGTGAAGGGTGGACAAGTGGAGAGGGCAGGTAGTTTGGAGCAGAGGGAAGGGAATGCTTCTTCCTGAGTTTAAAGTTTTTCCTGCAACGTCTTTGTGAAAGTCATAACTTAAATCTCTAGGCAATATTCACATTCTATTATGTTAAAAAATGAAATCCAGCATTTAGTTGAAAAACCAGCAAGTTGAAATAATTTTATTGTTAAATTTCATAGAGCTCATAAGCTTTGTAGATTAAGATAATGATGATCATTGTGAAGGTTAAAATGTGTTTGTGACTTTAGCAAAGTATAACTATGCCATAGTATTGTGAAATTTATATAGTCAATCTTAATAAAGAAATATTTGGAGAAAAAGAGTAAGTTGCTAAAGCAAAAATATAACAGTGTTTCAAAGAATGATGAAAGGTTATTATCTAAATGACAAACATGGCTATTATAACCCCTTTAGACTTATGAGAATTGTGTCAGTGGGTGAGGAAAAGCAGTTGCACTGGAAAGTTCCATGTAAACATGAATAGCCAGAGTGAGCTTGTTGCTGAGTGGGAGATGGGAGAAAAGAGGCCAGCAAAGAAACAGTTAACATGGGCCTTAAAAGGAGGCCAGCAGAGCCCAATGAGCAGGGCCCGAGAGGCTATAAAGCCGGCCCTGTGCCAAAGGCCCAGACGGCTCTGACTCTCAGAGCCTGGGAGGGTGCAGAGCGCTCTAGGGAGCCCTCTGGCTAGAAGGCAGGCAGGCAGGCTTCCCTCCCTCCGAGGGAGGCTTCCTCCTCCCTGCCTGCTGCTTCTACACTCCCATTACCTCAAGCCCCCACACTGTGCCCAGGGACCCACTGGGACAGTTAAGTGCCGGGTGGCCCTCCAGCAAGCTCCCAAGCGGGAACATGGGACGGCTCTGCTCAGAACCCAGATGTCTCCGGGAGACCCAGCCCTTGGCTCAGGTAAGATTTACATCCTTGCAGTGGGCCCTGCACCCTACTGCCTGGGGGGCTTCATGAAGCCGCTGTCTTTTGTGGCAAGGGGAGAAGTATCCACATCCCTCTTCTAGAGGAAAGTCACCAGGGACTGTGGCCTGGGATTGGCCACCCTGGGTGTGGACAACAGGGGCTTTATGTGTCTCTAAAACACAGCAGACAGTGGAGCCCAGCATTCTGCCCACTCTGCCCAAGCAGGAAGGGGTGTCACTTAGAGAGCTGCCTGGGAAGGGGGTGCTGCAGGCCCTCCTACAGAACGTTAGTGATGACCAACCAGGCTTAAAACAAAATGATACCAAGTTGTTGGATGCCCTCTTTGTACTTGTTAAAGTGCTGGCCAGCTCTATGAGGATGCTGTGACGGGGGGAGGTTCACACAGGCCCTCAATCTAAGACCACCCCATTCCCACGGCAGTGCTTGTGTTTAAACTCCTCCTCCTTCATTCAGCAAGTTCAGGTAGTGTAAGAAAACAAATGTGAGCCAGGGGTCCTGCTCTAAATGCAGACTCTTTGCAGGATGCCCACAAAGACAGTACTGGGGGCAGATTTTAGGATTTTAGAAGGTAAACACAGAAACTTTTACCACCACAGATGTGGGCCACCTAGTGAGATCTTGGGACAGTAGTGCAACTGTGTAAATCGCTTTTGAGCCAGGGATGGTGAATAAAGAACCCAAAGCAGCCCGGCACCAATGCTCACGCCTATAATCCTAGCTATCAGGAGGCTGAGATCCGAGGATCACAATTCAAAGCCAGCCTGGGCAGGAAAGTCTGTAAGACTCTCATCTCCAATAAACCACCAGAATACCGAAAGTGGCGCTGTGGCTCAAGTGGCAGAGCACTAGCTTTGAGCTGATAAGCTCAGGGATAGCATCCAGGCCCTGAGTTCAAGCCCCATGACTGACCAAAAAGAAAAAGAAAAAGAAAGAAAGAAAAAAGAAAAGGAAGCAAGGAAAAGAACTCAGGTCAGTATGGTGGATTGGGTGACACGAGAGGCTTTTTTTTTTCTTCCTGGGTCTCCCTGCTTCCTTCCTGGCCCTCTGGCTGACACACAGACTCTGCCCATGCCGTGTGGTCCTGAGAACACTGCAGGCCTGGGTGCTGCTCTCGAAAGTGGCAGGAACCCCCTCCCCCCCACCTCTGAGTCTTCCTCCCTTGCCCAGCAAAGCTTATCTACTTAGTCACAAAATGCAATGGGAAAATACACTAGGTTTTAGAGTAATGCATTAAAACACTAAATAAAAATTTACACATTCTTTTTTAAGATGTGAGTCTCACTAAAGTTGCCCTGGCTGGTCTCAAACTCTTGAGCCTAAATGGTTCTCCAGCTTCCACCTCCCAAGTCTCTCAGATTACAGGATTGTACTACCGTGCCTGGCTAATTTCTCAAAACAGTAACTTTTTCTTTTTTTAAAAAAGTAGACATGGAAATAGAACCTAGGGCTTCAAGAATGCCAGACAATGCTCTACCAGTGAGCTACACGACCCAACAATGGCCATTTTTATTCCTTCTATTTATTATCCTATGTGTAAAGAAAAAAGTTTTGTTTCTGGCATCCAAACTCAGTCCTACCATTGGTAAAAGGGCTTTAATGCAAGGGAAAAGACGGTTCCAGTTCCAGATTTCTAGATCTGCCACCTTTCAGCAAAGCTGGGTTCCCTTTCTCCTGTGTCACTTCTCTCTCCCACAGCTGCTGAGATAACCCTATTTCCTGTCCCATCCAACAGTAGCTCACCAGGACTCCTGCAGCTGGAGGCTATGTCATACCATCTGTTGCTGTCTGACTGCTAATCCCGCACCATGACTGAGCCTGTCCCCACCAAACAGCCTGCTACCAGGGTTGCCCTCAGAGGAGGGAGCCGGACATGTCCACATTTGCTTCTACTTCTGCTCAGGGACATCTCCCCACCACAGTGAAGCCAAGAATCCCTGCCTTCCCCCATGCTTCTGTGATGCTGCCCCATCTGACTTCTACAGGCCCGAGCTACTCGATGGCCTAATCCTGTTCTATGTGCCTCTGGCAGGTTCTCAGACAGGGACACATGTGCCAAGTGCCCTGCTAGTCTCTGGACTGACAAACTGTCTCCGGGCTCTTCTACAGCTCTTCCTGCTGGACAGATGTCCAGCTCGCCTAGAAGGATGGAGCCATTGCTTCACACTGATTTTTGTGGCTCTCTCAGCAAATCCTGAGAACACAAGAGCCATGGATGTGGCATCTCCAGCCCACACCATAGGTGTGGGGATTCACCTGGGCAGTGCAGAGTCAGTAGCCAGCAACAGTACGTCCCCAGCCTTCAACCTGTCCCACCCGCTGCTTGGCACCGCCCTGGCAAACCAGACTGGGGAGCTCTCTGAGCATCAGCAGTATGCCATCGCCCTCTTCCTCTCATGCCTCTACACCATCTTCCTCTTCCCCATCGGTTTTGTGGGCAACATCCTGATCCTGGTGGTCAACATCAGCTTCCGGGACAAGATGACCATCCCTGACCTGTACTTCATCAACCTGGCAGCCGCGGACCTCATTCTGGTGGCTGACTCCCTGATTGAGGTGTTCAACCTGGACGAGCAGTACTATGACATCGCTGTGCTCTGCACCTTCATGTCCCTCTTCCTACAGATCAACATGTACAGCAGTGTGTTCTTCCTCACCTGGATGAGCTTTGACAGGTACATTGCACTGGCCAAAGCCATGCGCTCCAGCCTCTTCCGCACCAAGCACCATGCCAGGCTGAGCTGTGGCCTCATATGGATGGCCTCTGTCTCCGCAACCCTGGTACCCTTCACAGCTGTGCACCTGCAGCACACGGAGGACATCTGTTTCTGCTTTGCTGACGTCAAGGAGGTGCAGTGGTTGGAGATCACATTGGGGTTCATCATCCCCTTTGCCATCATTGGACTCTGCTACTCCCTCATCGTCCGTGTGCTTGTCAAAGCTCATAAGCACCGGGGACTGCGGCCACGGAGGCAAAAAGCACTCCGCATGATCTTCGCCGTGGTCCTGGTCTTCTTTATCTGCTGGCTGCCAGAGAATGTGTTCATCAGCGTCCACCTCCTGCAGCGTACGCAGCCGGGGACCGCACCATGCAAACAGTCCTTCCGCCATGCCTACCCCTTGACTGGCCACATTGTCAACCTGGCAGCTTTCTCCAACAGCTGCCTGAACCCCCTCATCTACAGTTTTCTGGGGGAGACCTTCAGGGACAAGCTCAGGCTGTATGTGGAGCAGAAGACCACGCTGCCGGCTCTGAACCGCTTCTGCCATGCCGCCCTGAAGGCAGTCATCCCAGACAGTGCCGAGCAGTCAGATGTCAGGCTCAACAGTGCAGTGTAAAGAGCCCACCTAAAAGGTAATCGCTCACACCTGAGCTGGGGGCGGGGCAGGAGGGGTGGCCTCAGTGCCTCACAGTCAGTTCCCCCTGCTAGGTCCCCCTTACAATTGCTGGGGAGCCATGTTCCACTCTCCTGACTTCATCCTGACTTGCCTCAATCTGTGTCCAAGTGCTCACAGCTGAGGGCCCTGCCGTCTGACCTCAGGGGGCCCAGGTCCACCTTGCTGCCTGGCTCTGCCTCCATACACTGTGCTCCCAGTGGAAACCATTCTGCCACTGACCAGTGCAAGCCCAAGATGGGGGTCTGCTTGTGTTACAAGGCCAACCTGCAGCAGGAGGAAATGAAGTCTGGAGACAGAACACACTCAACCAAACCAACCCAAACTGGATACATACTGCAATGCCTGTGACGCGGGAGTTCACATGCATGGGCTGCCAGGGCACTGGAGGCCCTATGAGAACAAAGTGGATCACACCAGAGCACAGGGAAGGCAGGACAGCATGCCTGCCTGCACCACCAGCCCGTTGGGTGGCAATTCCAGGAATGTGGAGGGCAGTCTACAGAGTGCTGTGGTGAGATGTCCTGGCATGTGTGGCTGATAATCTGCCTCTCCAACGATGATGTCACAAACCGATCAAAAAACCAAAAGACAAACTAATGGTGGCTAGTACTGTTCTGTGTCTGTCAATAAAATGTAGTTATGTGCTGATACTCCAAATGCTCTAAGTTGTTGCTCCAAGGGTAAGATGAGGCAGAAAAAGCACAGCCCAAGGTGAGCTCCTTGATCATGAAGAAATAACACTGTGTTACAAAACCCAAGGGCCATCCTGCAAGGCCAGCATCCAAACTGCTTGGCACTTTTAAGATGCCAGAAAGGGTGTTGTCTTGTCTGACACTTGTGCTGAATTGTCTCTGGGTGCTAAACTTTTTTGTTGGTGGTGGTGGTGATGGTACTAGAGCTTGAACTCAGGGCCATTCATGAGCTTGCTAGGCAGAGGGGATGGGGAGCAGTTCTACTACTTGAACTATACCCTCAAACCTTTTCTGCTTTAGTTGCTTTTCAAATAGTGTGTCACCATTTTGCTAGGGCCAGCCTTTGCCTATTCCTACCTATGCCTCCTGTGGGGCTGAGATGACAGGTATGTATCCATATACCCAGCTTTTATATTGAGATGAGGCCTCACTTTTTGTCCAGGCTTCCCTCAAACTATGATCCTCCTGATCCCTGCCTCCTGGGAGGAAGGGTTAGAGGAGGATCGCAGGCATGAGCCACCATGTCTGGCCTAGGATGCTTTTTATCAACCACCTTTGCAGCCACACGCTGGTATGCAGAACAGGACTGGCAGAGTTATGGCTAGGAAACCTGATGGTGATTTTTTTTAAGACATGTGTTTGACCCTAACTCTCCATTGTGACCTCATTGCTGGTGGGAGGACAAGATGTTCCAAATCACAGACAAGGAGGCAGGGTTGGAACTACATGGGGTGCCAGCTCTTCACCCTTCATCCTACCTTGAAAAGCAGTGATGCACAGATGCCCTAAATGTGTACAAACTGGAGATCAACCTGTTAACTTAGAGCTGTGACAGGAGGGGAAACAGACAAGGAGTGACAGAGTTTCCTATCTGCCCTTCTAGAGGTCCTCCCAGGTCTGGGCAGCCTGGACACTCAGGTTGGCCGAGGCCACTGTCTTGCTCTAAACCCTGCTAGCCTTTCTTTAGGCCAGGGCAGAGGCTGTCCATCTGGATGGCTCTGCCCAAGACCCTGCTTACTTCCCAGGACAGATGCCATATACTTTGGTACCACCTTCTGCCTGGGAACCTGGCCTTAAAGTCCCAGCAGGTGGGGACCGGAACAGATCCCACCATAGTAAGAACTGTTTAGGGCCAGTGGCTGAATGGCAGCTTATGCCCACGAGAGCCACAGAACGTGTAGGCAGCTAGACAGCCAGGGCCTCTGAGGTCTCCCTCACCCTGTCTGAGCCCTGGAGCTGAGGTCAGCAAGCCCAGCAGCTTTTAGAGAGCCCGCCCAGCCCTCCTGGCAGCATTTGTCTGGAAGCTGAAGCTAACTTCATTATTTTTGGCACAAACCCCACAAGATAAAATCAAGTTTTAATTGCCTTCTTGCTTCCTGGTAACCCAACTCTCTTCTCTGTACTAATGCTGTGCAAACCCTACAAGGAGCTGGAGCATAACTGTAAGTGCCCAAGGCATGGTTGGTTAGCACTGAACTAATTTCAGCATTTTCCTTTGTGCTGAACTCTTGACTCACCCCAACCCCTCTATCCCTGATCAGGCCCCGGAGAGAAACAAGGGCAGGCAGTCCCTTAGCACTCACCCATGACACCTTCAGTCCTAAAGGAAGTGGGGAGGAACCCAGCCAAAGCCCAGCAGGTGGTTCCCTACAGCTCTGGAACAAGTTGGTGAACTGTGATTGAGCACCTGAGGGAACCTGCTACTATTCTTGAACTCAGAACAGGGTAGGACCAGAGGTGGAAGAACCTAAGGAAGGCGGGGGGTGGGCAAGAACTCCATGAGAATAGTGGGATGTACATAAATGTAGCAGTTTAGACCCAGGACTTCTGACATAAAAAGGTGTCTGCAGGTGCATGCACTTGTATGTAAGTGTGCTGGGTCCAAGCATGTCTGCACTGTGCGCAGGGCACATGCAGACACAGACATGGGGACTCGCACATCCCCTGGCTCCACCCATTAAGTCCAGAAAAGAAGGGGAGCAGCTGCACAGGCCCAGTGCCGCTCTCTATAGCCCCAGAGAACGTGGCTGATTCCAGCAGGGCAGGGTGGTCACAGGTACACCTGGAGCACAAGGCCCTGCAGGTATGGAGGCTTAGAGAAGATGATAAAGTGACATGCAGAGGTCTCATGAGGCGGCCCAAAGGACCCCACTGGCCAAATCTGAGATGATTTGATCATCCATCCAAATCGCTAAGAAATATGAACTACAATGTCTCAAATAAGATCCCACAAGTCCATTCCAATAATAAGCAGGTAAGTAAATCTAATTTGAATAAATAATAATTAAACAAGAAGAAAAGACTGTGAGCAGTGGAGGGAGGGGGAATTCTGCCTGGGGGTGAAGGAGAAAGGAGTTCTGGAGACCGAGCTCAGGTCAGGCAGGAACTCCCAACGAAGGCTGCGTTTGGGGGCACAGTGAGGAGCAAGGCACCCACAGCTCACACCAGCTTCCACAGTGGGCCAGTCCTCACCCTATGATCATGTTAACATCACTCAGAGGACAGACGGAGTCCAGACATGACCCCAAGAAGGGCAGGGTGCCTTCTATGTGCTAACCTAGCCCAATCAGGAGCAAAGGTCAGAAAAACCCAGATGGTGAGGAGCCAGAGTGCACCACATATGTCAGTGTCATCAGAGGCAAGGCGGAGTGGCTTCCAGACCAGGAGAGGAGAGTGGTGACAGTTAAATGCAATGTAGGTTCCTCAGCATCCGGAAGGAGAAAAAAGCAGCACAGACCTGGGTGGTCTAAGAAGACAAATGGCTGCAAAAAGCATAGAAGTGGAGTTGGAGTGCCAGGGAGATTAACGTCAGCATGCATGTTCGGCTTTGGCACATTGGTAACACCATTGGACATCACTCACTATGAAAGAACAGCGTTGACAAGCTGCCACCTGAGTGACCCTTGCATACAATACACATGGTGTGAGAAGCTGGACCCAGAGGGCCACATACAGGCATAGGTGAAGCCAAAGGCAGTGCATGGCTGCTGGGGACTGTGGGGAGGGGAAGGACATGTCTACCAATGAGTGAGGAGTCCATTTGTGAATGAAGCCAACATCCTGACATTACAGTGCTAGTGGCTGGCTGTCTGATTGCTAAAACCACAGGAGCATACTTAGCAAGTCACATCTCAATAAACACAGGCTAAACATGGCTGGCCACATCTCACCACTGGCCTTCTTGGATGCTCCCTTGCTCAGTGCTGCATAAATGCCACTCCAATAGCACCTTTATTCCTCTCCACAGTAGTCATGAAGTATGCCTTTGAAGGGAAAGGGTTAAGCTATCAGAAGCCCTAGAAGCTGTCCTCTAACATCTACTGTAAAGCTGCTAATTAAAGTTTTCTCTGCTTACTTACTGCCCGGCAATTCTAGCTTTTTTCACTCTTCCACAGTGGGAGCTAATTATCGAGGGTCTCTTTTGATATTCTTTTAAATTAAAAATAGTGGAAAAGAACTTAGGTAGGAATTAAAGCTGAATGGAGTAGATTGTCCCCTGGTATCATGTGACATGGCGAAGAACAGTTCTCTGCAGGGACGCTATCCACGGGGAGTAGAAGGGGGTGGCACTGGGGGGGGTTCATGAGCACTCAGGGCCCCCGGGCTGACAAGCTGGACCTCCTTGCCCGCCACATGAGGCCAGGTGCAGGAAGGAAGCCAATGGTGGCAATCACTTACTCAGACTGGGACAATGTATGGGAACTTGAGAGAAGGGGTGGCACCCACAGCAGTCCACAGCACTGTACCCTGAGGATCAGCTAGCCTGTGACCTGAGCAGCAAACTCACCCACAGCCTGGGTCTATCAACCAGTACACTCTGAGCAGGAAAAAGTGAGGGCAAAGGTCCTGTCAGAGGGGGATAGGTGCAGGCAGTCACAGCACCTAGTCTGAGCAGTAAGTCTGACAGCCAGTGTGGCCTCCCAGGACAACCTTAGGCTGACACAATCACTCATAAACACACAGGCGTGTGCAAACACAACTGCCCTCAGCGTTTGCCTACACCAGTCCTGGGTATGAGAAAAGCATCATTCGCTGAGCTACTCAGCAAGCTGCCATTATCCTCTGGGTGGGGAGCCCCTCTGTGAACAGGATGTCAAACGCCACAGGAACACAGAACAAAAGGGCTCCCAAACTTGCCAGTGTTCCTACGCCCTTACCCAGGGTGGAACCAACCAGAAACTTATCACCAGAAATCAGCTGCTGGTCCTGGAGCAGCCCCAGCTTCATGCAGAGGGACTGGCTCTGCTGCGCGCCAGTGAGTCGAGGGGAGACATGTCAACAGTGAGGGCAGAACAGAGGGGGCAGCTACTTAAGCTGTTCCTGTTCTTTCCTCCCTCTAACTCCTCCTTGGAGAACATAGCCTGGACTGGGTTTTTAACGTGGAGCCTCATTCGTGCTTGCTAGGCAGGATTCTACCACTTGAGCTACGCTTCCAGCCCTTTTTGCTTTATTTTAGGGACAGTCTCAGTTTTGCTTGGGCCAGCCTGGGCAGTGTCCTGTGGGTGACTCTGACTAGGCAGGACTGCAGGCGTGTATCACCATGCCCAGCCTGGGCAGCTTCTAAAGTGCCCAGTCCACTTTAAGCCTGCTCTCCAATTTCCTATGTGGGCAGGTTTCCCTCCGGGGCATGTGTCTTCCCCGTAGCAACCTCAGAGCTTGGGAAACAAGGATAATGCCATGCTCACAGGAAAGTTCCAGCACAAGGCCCTAGGAGAAATGGCCTTCACCTGCTGAAAGGACGCAAAGGGCACGGCTTATCCTTGGGGCCTTAGCTCCTCCTCGGGTGTCACCAGAGGTGAGGGCCCCAGGCCTTAGGAGGAGATCAGGCCAGGAAAGTGACAACAGAGAGCGGAAGTAACCATCACCTGCATGGGACATCTGGTCTTTAGACAGGACACAGAGTTCTCTGCTGACTCAAATACATCCAGTCCCCAAATGACCATCAGGACAGGCTGC